TACACAGAGCCACTATACACAATAGTTTTATTCACTGCTAACAGTTCGTATCAGGAATTGGTTATTGTAAAAGAAGTAATGTGCATGCAGGTGATATTTGTATAGATTTATTTACACCCTTCTGGCAGTGCTGCCATTGCAGTCAGGTCTCGCACACTAGAGTAGAAGTTGTCTGACTTGGCTGCAGTCAGTTTATACTCCACCCCTGCAGACGCTGGCAGATTGTGCTCCACGTTGCGTCAGCTGCAGACAGACCTAAGCCCAAGTCGAACGCACCCAATTACTTCTTTAAGGGAGGATGGGCAAAATTACAACGGCGTCGGTGATTGGCTGTTGTGCTGGCATTCAGTAAACCTCTGCTCGATAGGCCATCGAGTTGTCTGTCTCAGCGCATTCTCTAAAATAGAGCAAACTTAGTTGATCAAGTTTTATAGTCTGTGTTTATCATCGTGATCATCCTCATTTTTTATCGATAAAAAATCGAGATCATTTTATCGCCCAGCACTACTTCCGGTTGTCCATTTTTATTTATTGCTGCTAACAATAGAAATGGACATTTTAAGACGAGTGCCTATTTTTACATACCCATTCCCTGACTTATGAAGGTCAACACACTTTGGTTTGTATGCTTTCTTATCTTTCCCATGTTGATGGATGACTAAGGGAATTTGGGCACTGTGTCACCATTTCTATTCACTCCACTCAATTCAAAGATGTACATGGGGAAACATACTTCAGTTACATTGTGTTCACTATAATTTCCAGGGGTGCCAGTAATCGTGACACATGTGTTTTTGTTAAAGATAATTTCTTGATGAAGGATTTTTTTTTTTTCTTGGAATAAATTTTATGTTAATGAAAGGTTGGATTTTAATAAATTTTTCAGTGTGACATAAAACTGCTTGTAAGGAATCCACTTGCAGAGTCTCCACAGTTTCAGCAAAAATGGTGGTTCATTGAACAGTAAAAATAATATAATGTAATACAGTGTAGACATACACCGGGTACTGAAAGGCAGCTCAAAAAATTGTGCCTCTATTAATCCTGCCATCGTGCATCAAGCACCACGTGCCTGCACCG